CCATTGCCATCATCGCATTCTATGTATCCAAATGACTATCAACAGCATCTCGATAGATAGAGTCTAGCAGGTACCGGAAAGAAGCAAAAATAGTTAAATGGAGGGTCTTCAAAAGCCACCCGATACCCCAGAAAACACATGGGTCGATGAGTGCGAATTCAGGATCATGCACCATGATTGCTCCATCGACTTTTTGCACGAATTCTTTTGCCAAATGCAAAGAAGAGAAATGGAACGGGGATCAAGACCGCCGCAACGCACCCAAATACCGTGATGCCCCAACTCACTCCGATGCCCTGGAACATCGGCTGCACAAATAGAGGGAATACACCTGCTAGGATGGATCGAAGAAGAGTGGTGGCCGCAACTGCGCTCGCGCTGACGCGCAAGAATGTGTCAACCAAATAATTGATTGAACTCTGAAAGATGGTGGTAAAGCCGAAGCCCGTTAATGCGATGCCAACGAGTGATAGCCAATAGTTGATATGAGGCGATGAGGTCCCTACATCTAGTCAGTGTGGCACAACAAATCATATCGGGGAGTTAGGGACTGACAGGCAAAAATAAATAAGCCTCCGGTGAAGGCAACCCCTCCAACCATCATCGGAGGCAATCGTGCTTCGGGCACGGGTTTGCCGTCATTCTCGCGAAGCTTTCTAAAGTAATATCGGTTGTTATAAACGTTGGCTAGAGCCGCGGCGAAGATCCCGACGAGGAGGGCGACGAAGGGAAGGCCTCCGGTAACATGGCCCCAGCCGCGCTTCTCCTGGAATTCAATGGGGAAGCTTTCAAGGTTTACATATAAAATCGCTGTTGACAGAGTGAGTAACCGCATCCACAACCCTTGCCAAAAATGAGTACCAACCGTAAACGAAAGACCCATAGATCGACATGAACAGTCCAATTGGGGTGTTCAGTATCTGGAAAGGACGGATCAAATATTTCTGCGACATTTCGGATATCGATACGTCCCATTCTTCGTGCTATTACTCAGTTAGTATGAAGCCAACTCTAAAAAGAAACAACTTTCTTGGTATCTGCCTTGCTCACCTTCGCGTGCAGAGCCCAGTTCTTGCCTTCCAGCCGCAGCCGGCGTGCTTTTCGGACCAACAATGCCGGTGCATAGCTCTCATCAAGAATCAAGAAATCCAGCACCGATTGCACTACCATCAAAATCCCCGTCAGGTATTCCGTCCAGCGCCAACCTAGGCTACTATTAGACACAAAGGCCCCGCCAATGATGGGACCAAGACAAGGTCCGCCAACGAGAGTGACCGAATAAACGACGATGGCCACACCGCGATGTTCTGGCCTCCAGATATCCGCCATTGCACCGCCAGTTATCGCCACGCTAGAGCTGCCGAAGAATCCAGAGAAGAATCGGGTGATCATCAATGTCTGGATATCCTTTGCCGTTGCCGTCCCAAAAGAGAATATCCCTGCTATGAAATAAGGCTGTATCACAAGTCAGCTCGAATGGCTAAACTTGGTGACTTGACGTCTGAACTAACGGTCGCATGATAGGGCACGTACCAAGATGGTGACCGTTTTACGACCATAAATCTCGCTCAAAGGCGCCCACAGTAACGGTCCTAGCCCGAGACCAAAGACCAGCAAGCTGATTCCCAATGTGGATACTTCTTTCGAAACGCCAAACTCGTGCGCGATCGGCAGCATCCCCGCCGAATAGATCGCCGACGCAAAGGTGATCCAGCATGTAGTCAATCCATATAAAATGGTCGTGATGGCCTTCTTCCGAAAAGGCCAATTAATGGAACGGTAGGGATCATCTTGGCCATTGAAGTCGACCAGAACATCAGAGGTTGTTGCCTCGTAGAGTAGGGGATGAGCCAAAACCGCTTCGCTTTTGGTACGCTCTTGGTGGTCGAGAGACATGGTTGATGTTAGTACCCAGTTTGGGATGAAATGAGAGCAAGCAAGCAGCGCTGCCACGCCTCACTTGGGGGGATTCCCTCCATTTAACAAGCATCCATGCAGAGGGGGTCCCCGGACAGACTGGTCTTATGCGCAACCGATGGCCGGAACGGAAGGCTCATGCAGTTTGGTCCGGGGTCGCATAGGCTTATCCGAACCCCGTCTGCCTCAGTCATAGTCCGTATGATCCCAATGACATCGAGCTTAGATCCCATGGGCTCCTCCACTCGGTCGCACTCATGACGACCAAAACGAAGATGTTGAAAGCCCGCTCTGTGCACCCTCATCCAAACTAATATCGAATAGCTTTCATCCTTACTTCTTCCTGCCAAACCCTTTGGCACGCTCGTACATACGAAAATGGTAATAGATTAACAAGGCTAAATTCGTGGTACAATTGTCGCTTGGATAGCCTCTAGGGATCGTGTACGTTCTGGTCTTATGATGTGAGACCTGCAGTATGCCGAAGAAAGGGAAATTGTGTCCCCTGCTTCACCTTATGTCTGATTGCCTGGTGATTTTCTCGCCCACCCCGGAACCAGCCACTCAGGAATATGGGAGTCATCAAGAAGAGGGAGCATTGGTCCGAAATTATTGCACGGTTCATGAGCGGAGCTTTCGACGTGCGGAACACCCGGGAAAAGCTCTTCAAAGGGATCCAAAGTCTCCGTCAAGAAATCGCTAGGAAGATTTTTTACTACATTGCAGGTTGGGTCGACAGGTGTAGACACATATGTCGTGTTCGTATCCCAGCACAATTCGGAGCCTAGGACCCCTTGCATATCATCTCGATTGGTCGGTGCTCGCTGTCTCCCTCTGCCAGCAGGGTCAAGCTCCTGCATCTCTCGTATGTACTGTGCCTTGGCCATCAGTCGTCTGATAGGCCGCCATAGGGTACCCTTTCTCCCGCTTTCCTTCACCTTCCAATTGTTATAAACGGTATTGACGTACCCCCATGCGCGGTCACAGTCTGCCGAAGGGGGCCGAGTGCAGATCTCAGAGAGCACAAAGGCAACGGCATGCCACTGAATGTGCGTCTTTGAGTGCCAACTCCAGTGGGCAATCCTTTTGTTTGTGAGGACCAAGCTGGATAGTTTCAGAACCTCAATGGATGACAAGAAGAGCTGATCGCGCACAGGGTCCGATAAATTGTCACCATGTTCCTTCTCACCTAGAGGGTATCGTGCAACTAGCCACGCACGTGCAACCATTAGACGGGCTACGAATGTTGAAGCCAAGTCAAAAGGCTGTGACGTATCACAATGCTGTAAATATCGCTCTTCAAGGCGATCGTGTAGGTTCTGCACTAATGCTTCACGTTCTTTCAAAGACGGCCTGCCAGTCCCATTTCTCGGCCCTCCCAAGCCTGGAACCACACAGCTAAGCTTCCACATGGTCTGCATAACCTCACACCTGATAAGACAGAAATACATGCCAGTTACACCGGCCCTCTCAACGGGTAGCTCGCTCATGTCGGCAGTCAGGTCAGCATCTTCAACATTGAGCGGTAGCTTCGTGTCAAAGGCTGAGCCCCGCACAATTGGCTCGCAGCCATGGTACTCTGATGAGCGGGCATCTAGAAGACAAATGTGCCACCACAGCCGCCGGCGTAGCTCTGTCTCCATAGGCTTGAGCCCGAACACGATGCCATCGCGGTGGAGGCCCATAGCTTGCGCGATGTGAAAGATGAGTGCTGTGAGCGACCAGACGGTCCGGGAATCATCTTCGTTGCGTAGCGCGAAAAGGAAAAGCACTGCGGCTTGCAATAGCATGACACTTTGCGTATTTAGCAGGTCAGCACGGGCTAAGGCTTGTTCTATGGCGAACAGATAGGTTTCTGAAGCATGTGCCTTGGAGACGCCAATAGTTCTTAGGCACTGCTCGGGCTCCATGCTTATTACTGCAGAGTAATATATGGCGAATAAGAGTGCTTCAGTATCTTTATCGAGCGATTCGAGAGACGCAACCGCATCCCAATAGTTGCGAACTAACGTGGGCATGTGGAATATACGCACCATCGGGGAAACGTTCTCCTGAAATACCCCGAAAAGGGTTACCGACTCAGTCAAGGGTGGATGATAGGGATGAAGCGAATGAGCAAGAGCCCGGAATCCCAATATTGAAGCATTGGAGCCTGTGGGCAAAGGTCGCTCTGAAACGGACTCCCCCGAAAAGGCAGAGTCTTCTTCTTCCAAGGGCTCATGTAGTAGATCCCGCAGTTCTGCAATCTGCACCGTTACTCGTTAGCTTGAAAGCGAACGGATGCAGTAAGGGTCTTGGCCGGGACCCGGACATACCTCATCGCCCAGATTCGCCCAGAGCACATTACTGACATAATAGCTCCGTGTTTCGTCTATCAATAGGCGGCCTAGATGCTGCTCGACTGAATTCTCCGAGTCTGAATTGCCCGTGCGGGAGACAGATTGAGTACGGGAAGTTTCTGACACTCTGCTGTCTGCTGAGGACGATAGCGTGACTGGCGCTGCAGAATGAGGAGTTGAGCTTCCCTGATTCGCATGGTACTCAAAACTCCTTATGATAGACTCGAGCCTAGTTAATCGGTGTGACAACTGCGCGTTCACAGCATTGCGGGGCCGCTTAGGAGCCCTGCCGCGTCCGGGGGGATAGATGCATTCCACGCCCGAGCGACTGCAATTGATACAAGGCCGTTGTCGGTCACATTTTATCTTTCGCTGTCGACAAGAAGAGCAAGTGCGGGCGTAAGTCTGAAGTGGAGAGGAAGCATCAGCCAGACTTTGTGGCATTGGGGATATAGCGCTCATCGTAGTTAGACTTTCTCGTCTCTGCGCTCGAAATGTCGTACCGAAGAAAGACACAACTATACGCCCGGCTCCAACTTATCCGATTTCTGTTCGCACTTCGTAATGACGAGGAAAAATATGAATTGACGGATTGCAGTTCAACGTTCCGGCTGAAGTGAAGTACTACTTACTACACGTGGGGCCGCCAAGCCGCATAAGCTTATGCGACCCCGACCAGCCCGATCGATGCTGACATACATCACTTGTCCATAAAAAACAGACTAGAAATTGCTTCTTCAGACAAATACCTTCTGCTTTAGTCCGGTGAGTAGTATTTTGTACACTAAAGCTGTGGCCAATGGCACTCATAGTAACGCAAGCGGGGCTACCAGAATGCAGCGCTGTATGTAGGCATTCATGTATAACATGTTAGTAGGATTTGGCGTGCTTCTCAAAAGCAAATACAAGTATATCTTTCGCTTCATTGGTCAGACATGTCATCTTGGATCGATCCGAATCAGTAGAAGCTGCTATATATCCACTTTCGAGACATTGGACGGCAGACAAGCATCTTAGGTAGGGTAGGGGCATTCCAAAGGTTGAATATGCTCAGCAGAGCCTCGTTCAGCTAGCTGATGATGATGATGATGATGATGATGATGATGATGATGATGATGCGTATTCTGATCAAGGATCAGGGTCTGGCAAACGCGGCTCAAACAAACGCGAAGCAAGCAGCTTTTGCTATGGCGGGTCTTGCCATAATGAACACCGGTCAAGCGAGCGTTCCCGCCTGGGCCCAGTCAATTGTGACGACCGTGTAACTTAACTGCAAAGGTAAGAGTTAGGATGTTCTGTGCGCATTCAAGGGGCGGCTAGGGAGTATAATGATCTTGTGGGGGATGTGGCCAGGCTTATGGAGTAGATTGATGAGAACTATTTATGAGACATCAGCCATGACAATTGACCCTTTATTAAGATGATGTAATTGGTGTCGAGGCCGTGCGCCGTGCCTTATGCAAAGCGGTGGGCTTGGTGGACACAAATCATCCTGGAAATGTGAATAATACAGGGGATACTTGTATATGATATCCGATGAGGCCACCGGCTTGCTGAATGAAGGATGGCAGGCTGCCGCATGCAACGCCTCGCACCTGCCCGGTCGGGCGTCCCCTACTCCGCCTACATGCTCTAGATGGTCTTCCGGTTGCTTTTTGCCTTATCCTTAGCTGGCTCTAGCACAATCAGAGCAGACCATGTCTTGTTGTTGTGTCATTGGACGCTTGGGTTCTATATTAAGCGAACCCAATCCTTTATCAGCATACGCATCGTCAGCAGCAAGCTGAACGAGGCAAGCAGGAAAGGCCAGAATGGAGGCAACAATTTCAAGCAGACACTGAAAGAGACACCTACCACTCTTCCTAAGACCGGAAAGGATTTCTATTCCAGGGAAGACCAGTCAATGTAGAGTGGATGCGATCCAACGAAAACACGGCAGAGAGTCGTCAGCCTGGAAACGGGACCCTCTCAAGGGAGTGAGGCATATAGATAGAATCTTTGAACCTCGGTTGTTTGGCACTCGTTTAATGACGAGGACGCAATCTGTTGTAGGTAGCGCGTCTGTACATTGGTCGGGAGCAGAGGCCGTTATGAACCACAAGACAATTATGCAACAACAACTGAAACAGCGGTGATTGGGGTGAAAAGATATGAAGCAAGAACCAGGATCACTAAACAGACTAAGCCACACAATAGGGCAGAGCAAAGGTAAGCCGAGGCACAACGCGAGAGAAGCAATTCTAGAAAGTGGAGGTCAAGTTGGAAGGTGGAGCGCCTAATTGTCAGGATGGAGCCACCAGTCTCGGTTAGGCAAGTATGGCCTAGTTGCCTCCACTGCGGCCTGCCTTTTCTGGCAAGACTATTCCATGCGATGCTCCATTTTCTCCCAACCACGCACAATTGACACATAACGGCTCACAAAGTGACACCACACTTACTGTGTACTCGGGCTTGGTCCGCTATCTCAGGAACCGAGATGGCAGACCTTCTTGACCCTTGTCATAACCTTCTTCACTAAACCGTACGTTTTAGCCCCTCTGACTTGCCAGCCAGTCGGGCCTTGCCCGTGCTGAGTGACCATCTTCGCCCGAATTGAGCGACAAACACCCGTGCGGTATAAATTTCTCGGGCGTCATTCCCCAGCATTGCGGACACTTTCATCGAGAAAATGAGTAGAAAAAGAAGTCTGGAGCATTAATTGGGTCTAATATTATATGTTCTATCTAGAAACAAAAGATCTGGTCACTCATCTTCGAGATCGTTCCTGACGTCTGGAATCCAATGGCGCCCAAGGTCTTTTTGCACGCATTTACCATGCCTGGGGGCCCACAGAGCATAACCTTAGTCTCTGCTGACGGGATTGGCAACCTTTCACGGAGGACAGTCTCATTCACGTAGCCCGACCCATACGTCCACCCCTCGGGGGCCGCGTCCAGCATGTACCAAAGTTTGAAGTTCTTGGGATACTTGCGAGCAAATTCCTCCAGCTCCTCGCGCAGCAGGATGTCCCCCTCGCTCCGATTAGCATAGATCAGACTGATCTCGGTCGTGTCACGCTCGTCTTCGCAAATAGCCCGAATCAGTTGATACATGGGGGTGATGCCTGTTCCACCAGCTACCATTCCAATCTTGGCACATAGCCCTCGGCTGTAGCGCATGGCTCCTTTGGGTCCCCTGAACTCCACCTCGTCCCCAACATTCAGGTTGGCAAGGTATTTGCCGCTCAGTAGACCATCAGGGTAACACTTGACGACCAGTTCGAGTCGGCCCAAGTCCAGATTGTTGGAGACAGGGGTATAGGATCGGCTCACTGTGTTCCCATCAATAATGGCGCGGATGGCAACATGCTGTCCAATGGGAAGGCCAATCACCCCCTTCGTATCAGGCAAAGCGAATACAAATCGGTACACATTGGGCGACAACAAATCCTTCTGGATCAGGGGTAGACGCTGGTATTCTTTGGAGTCGAGGAAGCCCTTCGCCATGTGAGGGTCTGCTCGGGCCACTTTCCGAGCTTTGATATGCGGAGGATAGCGCATGAACCCATGTTCGATCTTCATCATTTTGGCAGCTTGGCGCGCCACTACGCTGCCAATTGCACAGGAGAAAAGCGTAGCTGCGAGAAATCCATTGGCGAATCCACCGCCTGGTAGTCTGATTCCACTGAACTCTTGTGGCATGGCACTGCCAAGAACTTTTCTCATATCGAAAACTCCGGGACTCTTCCGATTCAGAACGTAAAGCAGTGTCGTTACCGCTCCTAAGGCCCCAGTGACTGCCAGGAGCGACGAACCATTGGTTGCCGGGTTTTCGGTCTTCTCTGGCTTCTGGGAAATTACACGGACTGCCTTTGGAGGAACAAACTTCTTAGCGTCTTTCAGGGTACCGATCAAGTAGTCCTGCAAGATCTCCCTGGAGTCTTCCGAATGGCCGACATCCTCGAAATCTGCTGTGGCGTCAGTGCCTGCGGTCTCAAGGAGAACATCCACGCCTCCTGGATGGTCCTGCAGGTACTCGGTGATGTCAAATACTATGTAACAGTTTCAGTAACCCATCATGTGAATACACCGAAAGCCCTTACCTTGCCCGTGGATGGCAATCCAGATGTCATCCTTGCGATTATGCTTGGCAACATCGGCCAATGTATACTCGGCAAGCTGGGAATCAGCTCCCATTGTGACCGTCGAGTCTAAGGGTACAGGTTGGGCCATTTTTGGCTGAAGGAGAGTTGGTGAAATTTAAAGGATAATCGTTCTGCTGGGAGGGAACGAAATGAACCAGGGCTCTGGCATTATAACTGCCAATTTTTTGTTCCGAGGTATAGCAGCGGTATGCGTCTAATGAAGCGCGACATAATTGTCAACTTGATACCCACATTGCGTTGCTAAAAGTCTCGCAACGCTTGGCTCGGCCGGCATCATTCCTTCGGAGATTGGCCACGTCTGACGCTTAACGGCCCGACTGGATGGTCGGCACGGCATAGCCGATGAAGCCACCCACCTCTTGGTTTGAGCCTGCCATAGCCTTCTCCTTTTCATGGCAGAAACTCCTTAGGCAGTGGGTCTGGGGTGGCGATCGTTGTCTTCTTTGCAGTTAGTTCGAGTTTTCGGTGACGGCGACTCACGAAACAACCGAGGCAGGCACCGAGGCCTTCAATGTCTATGCGCATAATTGTCTTTGAAATGAACGCCATTCGTGCACTATGGCTGAAACTAGAAACCATTTCATTTCGTGCTATGTGGATAGCGAAAACCATGGCCGGTCTATGTGGGTTCATTGTCAGTCTGGGTCATTCTCCTTGATTTGTCTGTCGCATCGGGGTAGTTTTATTAGAGATAGTACGTACTCTCTATAAAGCTCTACGATGACCCTTGGCGAGCAGAATCTCCCCAACCACCCGTCGAGAGATTTTCAACAACTGCTCTAATCATGTCTGCTAAGCTTTTTCATCTCCTGGGTGAGCCCGTGGCAACCGCTCGAGAGATCGAAGTGGACTCATCGCTAGATTATGATGGGCTTAGAAACCTAATCGCTGCGCATTTTGCGATAGTTGACCCCAATGGTACCAAACATCCTATCTCTCATTGCCCTTTTCTAGAATCACCTCCAAGCTGACTACTTTAGGCATTGGCTTTCAGTCTGAAGACGCCGTCTTCACCAGTGTGGCTGAGATCGTCGCTTCTGAAACCCCAATTAGTATCGCCATTGATGGGAAACCGGTGAGAGAGGTCCCGGGGCCAAAGGGGCTTCCGATAATTGGAAATTTCTTTGAAATCTATCCCGATCACTTGGGCAACCATCAGCGCTTGTTTGAGCAGTACGGGCCTCTCTTCAAGACTACTAATTACGGTCGCACGGTATACCACACGAACGACCCAGAGCTCAGTGCGATTGTTTTCTCGGAAAGTGATTTCTTCACTAAGAAAATCAACGAATCCCATCCGCTTCATGCAATCAAAAACAAGGAAGCGGGTGTGTTCCTCGGCGACACCGACACACCTGAATGGAGAACTGCCCATAAATTTCTCCCTCCCGCATTCGGACCAAAGGCTGTCCGTCATTATGCGCCAGTCATGCAGCAGACGGTAGAGGATGCCTTCAAAGTGTTTGATGCTTTTGATGAGCAAGGCGAAGCGTGGAATGTCTATCAATACATGTTGAAGCTTGGCTCTCAGGCGGTTGGAAAGCTAGTCTTGGGCATTGACTTCCAACACTTCTCCAACATGAATGCACCCCCGCATGAATTGATCCTTCTGATTGCCGAGTCCCTTGAATTGAACAAGAAGATCACTGCCAGAGGTGACTGGTACGCCAAGCTGCCCTTCGGAGACCCTAAACGTCTTCAACAAATCCGTGGTCGGGTCTGGAACATTGTCGACGAGTCCATCCAGAACGCTAGTCGTGGTGGTGTTGAGGATCTCCCACTTCAGGATGCCGCCCTAAAAGCCCATAACATGATTGGTATGTCAACCCAGAGCTATCACCTTCCAGACAGCCGCTAACTGCCGAACAGACTACGCTATCCGGGCGACGGATAACAAAGGCGAAAAGTTGCCCAAAACGAGCTTAATCCAAGCCTTGGTTGTCGCAACTGGAGCTGGCTTCACCACCACCAGCTCGCTGCTGTCATGGTTGATTTACAGTCTCGTCAACTACCCTGGTGTGCAGGATAGGCTTTTGCAAGAGCTCGTGGATAACGGCATCGACGCTGATACGCAAATCACCGCCGACCTGACCGACCGTTTGACATTCATGGACAAGTTTATTAAAGAAACCCAGCGCCGACACAACCCGTCCTACCAACCCGCGCGTACAGCCAAGATGGACATGATTCTGCCTGGTGGCTACAAACTGCCTGAAGACTCGGTCGTCATCGGCGCACTTCATCACCTTCATAACAATCCCGACGTCTGGGACAACCCGACGCGTTTCAACCCAGACCGATGGGATACTGAAGAGGTCAAGAACCGACACAAATCGTCCTACATTCCCTTTGCGGCCGGTCCTCGGATGTGCATCGGCTTCAACTTTGCTCTTCAAGAAGTTAAGGTGTTCTTGCCGAAACTGGTATACCGGTACAAGTTCACCAAGGAGACTGACGGCCCGATTGAGTACGATCCTATGTTCCAGCTGATCAGGCCGAATAACCTGTATGTACGGGCTGAACGGCGCGTCAAGTGGCCGCCAAAGACGGAGACTCCTATGACGGCGTCGCTTTGAACAGTTACTGAGCGAGGGATGAGAGTTGGAGCCTTTGTTGATTGTGTTTTGATGTGCATCGTTTATGTAAATAGAATAGCGTTTATATTGCCCCTATATCATGATAGATTTCTCCTTTCTGATTCTCTTGTTTCCTGTCATCTTACCCTTACAAAATTGAAATTTAACCAAGACATTATGGTGCCCCGATAGGAGCCGGACGAGTCAAAAAGAGAAAGACCAAAAAGACATCTCCCCGACTGGGAGTCGAACCCAGGTCTCCCGCGCTTGTTCCCGGTAGGGATTGACAAGCGGAAATCATGACCGTTAGACCATCGAGGATATTATATGCTCTGGAGTTTTGTTTATTGTTATAGACAGCAGAGTTGATGAGCGTAGTAATATCCTTTCTTTGTTTTCTGTCCATCGGTTCGCTAAACTTTCCCTCTCGCGCGACTGGATTATCTGCATCGTCAACTGAATAATTGACCAAGAAATCACAACTTTACAACGCTATAGAGAAATTAAGTCTGAATTGGGAAAAAAAAAAATAAAATAAAATAAAAAAATTTGCCATTACCACTTATTATGTGAGTAGGTCATGGTGGTTAGACGAATGGAGTGTGGAAAGGTTGACTTCTACTGTAAGGCTGAGCGTACGGAGTAATCAGCCCTATTAGTGGGCCACCCTCGGTAGTTATTACTCATTTGGTTCTTATAAGTTAGTACCTATAGCTCCCTACCAGCTGAATGTTCCACACTAAATTGGGATGTGGAACACAAGGAGATAGTCACAAATTTGTAGTGAGGATCTAAATCTCATCCTTGGGCTTTTCTGGTCGTAGTTCGGCATATAAGAGACTGACTGTCCTGGTGTAGCTACAACCGGTGAAGGTCTCAGTGAGGGTCTAATAGCTCTTTCTACATGGAATGGAGAAGCGAAAAGAGTCAATATAAAGCACAAGAGACTAGGTCATCATGGACTATGACAAACGAAAAAGTACAAGAGCAAAATAGGAGAAAGACAAGGACAGAGGAAGGATCAGGGAGTGTCATGTTGGCCGAACAGACATACTAACTCCCAACATGATTTGACGAAAATACTGGGCATTTCGTGAGTAATTACTTTAGAGCAAGCTGAACTTCTTCTAAGTGAGTTAAAGACTTGACTTGAATGCAGGTCCAATTGGAGTGTTGATGACAGCCGATTAATTGATGTTTCTGGATTGGACCCTGGATGGGGTGCCTGGCTGCCTGGAGGAGACGATCTGCAGAACTTCCAATCCCGCCTTCCCGTCCCCTCCATCCTTCTTCTATTTCTACTCTCTTCCTTCCCCCTCTTCGCTCTTTTTCTCCCTTCTCCCTCCTTTTCTTCTTGTCCATATTTACAATTTTATATTTACTACCATACTTTCTCAATTGAGGGGTTGATTGCCTGTTTTACATAAGGGCTCATTATTATCATGTCGGCTCCGTCCGATCCATCTTCCTCCGCCTCTTCGCGAGGAACGCGTGTGCATCACCGCATCCTCGCTGAACTTGGCCTGACTTCAGTCTGGCAATCCCCTCGAGATGTCAAACTGCTCTGCGCCCAGCGCTTTGTGCGTCTCTTCGCTTACGGTGGTTCAACTCTAATACTGGCTGCTTATCTCTCAGCATTGGATATCTCCGATGAACGCATCGGTCTTTTCATGACCTTGACCCTGGTGGGCGATGTCGCTATCAGCTTCCTCCTCACTCTGTTCGCCGATGCCATGGGTCGCAGGGCCGTCCTCGCCCTGGGTTCAGCTTTGATGGTCGGCAGCGGCATCCTCTTTGCTTCGGTCGGCAATTACTGGGTCCTTCTGGCGGCGGCCGTCTTCGGTGTCATAAGTCCGAGGTGAGTTCTCCGAATTCCGAGAGAAAAACCCGACTATTTATAGTATCCCCGACAATGTCCGGGCATACGGGCTTACAAACTCAATAACAGTGGAAACGAAATTGGCCCCTTCCGGGCTGTCGAAGAATCGACTTTGGCCCATCTGACCCCCAAAGAGATCTTGAGCGATATCTTCGCTTGGTACTCGCTGATTGGCAATGCGGGCACCGCCCTGGGCATGATGACCGGTGGATGGGCCATCAACCTGCTTCAGGTTATCTGGGGATGGCCCTACATCCCCGCCTGTCGAATGATCTTTTTTGCCTACGCCGCTATCGGCGCGCTCAAGTTTCTCCTGTCTATTGCACTGAGCTCCGCTGTCGAGGCCGAGACGAAGAAGCCTGCGCAACGGTCTAGTAATGAGGGTGAACGACAACCTCTGCTGGGCGATCAAACGAGCAACGCCGCCCCTCAAGAGCAGCAGCCTCAAAAGAAGAAATCGATCCTTTCTTTCCTCGGCGATTCCGAGGTCGTCACCTTGTTTCTGCGACTTGCGATCCTGTTCGCATTGGACTCGTTCGCCTCTGGACTGGCATCGCTGTATGGCAACTCTTTCAAGGCTGGCCCCAGAAACCGTATAGTTCGATGAGACTGACATGTCGTATAGGTCGTGGATGACATACTTCTTTAAGCGCAAGTTCTCCCTCCCTGAAGGGTCACTCGGATCCATCTTCTTCACAACTAGCCTTATCTCTGCGGCCTCGGTGCTGGTGGCCTCATCCATCGCCAAGCGCATTGGCAATGTCAAGGTTTGCTCTCTCCAAGATAAATATCCTTTTCCGGCATCTGGCCACTTTTTGCTGACTACTGCAGACCATGGTCTTTACTCATCTTCCCTCTGCTATTTGCCTGGCACTCATCCCAGTTCCTTCGGTTCTCCCGCTGGCGCTGACCTTTTTGGTGCTCCGCGCCTGCTCTCAAACTATGGATGTGGCTCCTCGCTCGGCCTTCCTTGCTGCAGCGCTGCCGCCGGACCGTCGCACGGCTATCATGGGATCAATCAATGTCGTCAAAACCTGTGCCCAGAGCCTTGGACCTCTGTTGACCGGTATCTTGGCTGATCGAGGTGTCTTCGGGCTTTCATTCACCATTGCGGGTATATTGAAGGCTGTCTATGACATTGGCATGCTGCTCAGTTTTGCCGGAAAGGAAAAGCAGCAGCGGCGACCGGCACCAAGAAATGAAGATGAAGAAGCCGCCTAAACTCTCTAGGCAGACTTTAAGGGTTTAGCCTTTGAGGAAGTAGCCTCATAGGATCAGATCTTGGGCCCTGGAACAAGAGCTCCTGGTATGGATATACTCTGTAAAATCTATCTATATATCCTAATAACCCTATCTTATCTACCTATCATTGATTGTACAACTAAGGGATAAATAGATAGATAAATAGATAGGAACTGGGATAAATGACATGCTAGCTCACCTGCAACCCCGCATTTCGGCCGATCCCAACCCGATTGATTAGAATTCGGTATAGAAGAGTCAATCAGTCCATGCAGTCCGGCTAAAAGACAGAAGTCAACAATCAAAACTTGCGATAAACCCGAACCCCACTGAGGGGAAGAGGGGGAAAAGAACTCGCACCAATAATGGGCGTCGATGGGGTTGTGTTGTCGTTCCCCCGCAAATGGAAAGAGATGATGTAGATAAAACACTGGTTTTCCCTGTTCCCGCTGTTTATGCGTACTGTGTGAGGATTAACTCGGATTTTTTGGTTCTGTTTCTAGACAAAATGTCGCGGTATCTGAGAGCATTCGTGCTCGCTCTCGTCGGATCTACTACCCTGGCGGTATCAGCCAGTACTAGCAATAGTAATGGCTGGTGCCAGTCATCCTGGTCAACAAATACATGCCAGCTATTCACCGAGTCAATGGATTACCTCGATCGGATATACGATGCTTCGGCGGGATATGTCTATGATCCGAGTGCTGCGACGGCGCTGCGACACGATACCAGGACGTCCGTGTGGTATGCCGTGGGATTGTTGGCTCGGGATCAGGGAGATGATGTAGCTCAGGCCATGACTATCATTCGAAACGTAATAGATGCGCAATTCAAGGATACAAGTGATCAATGGTGGGTGTGATTGACACTTTGGGAGAGAGACATTTTCCCCTAAATATAATAATTGACTAACCGGCCGGATTATGCGTCTCACACAGGTACGGAGACTACCAGCAATATCCCGAAGAACCTACAGTAGGAACCCCAGCATACCCGCCGATCATCTACGATACCTGGGACCCCAACTGGAGAGAGTTCATCGGCACAGCTTTTATCATTGCGCTCGAGGAGTTCCCGCATCTGATCGATGCAGATATGACGCAGCTGATGCACGCCTCGCTTTACAATGACACTACTGGGGATAGTTATCGGGTTGGTGGAGTGGATGATGATAATTTGTATCCCTCGTATACGAACCCGGTGCGTGAGGAACTACCAACTTTCATACGAACAAGTGAGAGTAGACTGCTGACTAGTTGCGCTGCGCAGTCCTTAATGCGTGCCATCATCACAGGCTGGACGGGACGCAAACTTGGTGACCAGAATATGACAAACTCCGGCGAGACATACGCAAAGGAGATCATCGAGCTGTTCGATCGCGCAGATACGCTTTCGGAATTCAACAGTGCCACGTACACGGGCGTTTCCCTGATTGCGCTGACCATGTGGGCCAAGTACGCTGCAGAGGACTCGGTCATGAAGGGGAAAGGGAAGGAGATGTTGCAGGATACGTGGGACACCATTGGGGAGTTGTATCATGCTGGGTTGAAGAACCTCGCTGGTCCTTGGGATCGAGCTTATGGGTTTGATATGCAAAAGTACTTTGGTATCATGTCGGGGCATATTTGGTCGCTGGTCGGGAAAGAGACTTCTCCGGTTATTGATAAGGTGAGCAGGAGCTGGGAGTATCATTACTGCATTTGTTGGGTCTGGGCGCTAACAACCGATAAAACACCAAGGTGTATATGATGTCTCATAACTCCGACTTTTCCATCTCGCCCCTGATAGCTATCCTGTCGGATTTTCATAACTTGCTTGTCCCGTCATCGGCCGTTCAAGCCCTGAAAGCCTTCCCTGGTGAGCATACGGTCAACACTTCCGCTTACTCTATTCCATATGACTCCTTCCCGCGACAGGTGGCTGCGTGGCTGAGTGAAAACATCAGCATTGGAGCAGAGACCTTCAATGAGTCTGTTGTCGGTGGCCCGGCTATCAATCCATCACAGTTTAACCCGGCTGTCATTCAGTGGGATACTGGGGCTGGAATTGGCTGGATAACAGTGGGTTTTTTCCCTCTCAAACAACGATACTGGTTCTCAAAAGCCATGACTAACATATATTCAACAGTTGTATGCGACGGAGCCGGCTCTGAATGCCGAGGTAGGACCCGGTTATCTGAACCTGACCTATCCGCGTGGAACGTCGGCCTCTCAGTTCCAGTTTCTGGTATCTCCGTTTGAGACCCAAAGGAATGTGGCCGGCTGGGAGGACATTGTCGGCCTGGATATTACCGTGTCGGGCAATATGGACCCGAATACCCTGAACATCTCGTATAGCTTGAGCGACCAAGTCATCAAGTAAATAAAGCCTCTCTAGCGCCCTTGTTTGGTGACCAATAAATAAGCTAACCCATTTCCATAGTGACTTTAGGTTTTGGAACTTCACTTATTCCATGCCGGCGAATAGCACCGCCATTCCGAATGTCCTCCTGAAGGTGCAATTGCAAACATGATATATACGCCGCATCCCCTCTCTATCTACTCTTTCGATGGCGAAAAGGACATTGGAGATGGTAGTAACAGAATAGATGCCCGTTTATACATCGGTTCCATGCCCTTTTGGGGGTGGTCGGCTATGTATGTCTTTTAGCTAGTACTACTACTAGTAGTAGTTCTCTGGAGGGTTTTCAATATACTTACAATACAGTCTTTGAAAGCTGGATAAGCTCACCTTAGCTTGCATGCAGTAAGTATATCCTTGATCTATTATATCATATGTGGGGTTGATTTCCTGGGTACGGTAAGTATGGATCAATGAGATGAAGAAGGCCGGGCAAGAGTAATGATATACTACTGCATATGATGTTGAGACTTTCACTCCAGCCAGGGTCAGCTGATCCTTTTGCCTTGGCAATATATAAACAAAAAAATAGATTTACAGGTAAGGGGCGGTTCATAACATGTACATCCAGCCTCGACTCATTTTACTCCATGATCTCCAGGTTTTCCGCAACCGTAAACTTCGCCCCAGTCTTGTTCTGAATCTCCTCGACCTCCACGCCTGGGGCCAGTTCCGTCAACAGAAGCTCGCCCTTGGCCCGGTCGACCTGGAAGACGCACTATATAGTCCGCTGTTAGTTCTGTCTTTTCTTCCCTGAAAGATTGCTGATTGCTGTCATCGGCCAGGGCTCTTTTCCCACTTACCAGTTCGGTGATAATAGTGCTGACACAGTTGGCGCCAGTCAAAGGAAGGCTGCACTGGTCCACAATCTTCGGAGATCCGTCCTTCGCCGTGTGGCTGGTGGCAACCACAATCTTGGTCTTCTCGGGGTTGGAGATCAAGTCCATGGCTCCTCCCATTCCCTTGAACACCTTGCCGGGAATCATGTAGTTCGCCAGGTCGCCGTTCGCGCCGACCTGCAAAGCCCCCAAGATCGACACGTCTACATGCCCGCCGCGAATCATTCCAAACGACTCACTGCTATCAAATGTGGAAGCGCCCGGTACCAGAGTGACGGTCTCTTTGCCGGCGTTGATGACATCCGCATCAACTTCCTCTTCGGTCGGATAAGGACCCATTCCCAGGATACCGTTCTCGGATTGGATCCAAACCTTTACGTCTTCGGGCAGAAATGAGGGGGCCAGTGTAGGAATACCAACACCGAGGTTGACATAGTAACCCTGCTTGAGTTCCCGAGCAGCCCGCTTGGCGATCCGGTTCCGCAGGATAGTCGCAGCGTCCTCTGCCTTCTTGTTTGCCTCATCACCCTTGTCAGATCGCAGTTTCTTGATTTCGATATGCTTTTCATCGGTTGCGGGGACGATTCTATCAACAAAGATTCCAGGTAGATCGACATCATTAGGGTCGATTGAGCCAATGGGGACAATGTTCTCGGCTTCCACAATGGTAAGGGCTGCTGCCTTCGCCATGATGGGGCCGAATGCCTTCGTAGTGTAACTAAGTCACATCATTAGCAATTCATCGTATATAAGAGTCGAGAAATGCCTACCGGAAAACACAATTTCCTGCAGCATCTGCCTTCCATGCTCTGAGAATCGCCACATCCCCATTGAGTGCAGTCTCCATCATATAAGTTTTTCCATTGAACTCCCTTGTCTCGCGGGGCTTGCCATGCTCGAGCACCTTTCCGGATTCGTCTACACGCACCGGGATCTCTCCCTTCTGAAGCAGAGTATCTGCCAAAAGCAAGTCAGTAAGTTATATCATGTATCCCTTAGTGATCAAAAACTCACGAACTCCTGTGGGGGTATAAAACGCGGGGATCCCAGCTCCTCCAGCACGTAGTCGCTCGGCCAGACTGCCTTGTGGACACAGTTCGATGGCAATATTTCCCGTCAAATATTTCTTCTCCAGAGCTTTGTTATTTCCCAGGTAAGAAAGTATGAGTCTGTTGACCTGTCCCGCTTGCGTTAGGGTAGACAGCCCGCCCTTCCCAGCGAGACCAGCATTGTTCGAAACCGCCGTCAAGGAATGCAAGTTGTCGGCCCCTCTGCGATGTATCGCAAAGATCAACGTTTCTACAGTAGATTTTTTTGTCAGTCAAGCTGAATTATTATCTGTCAAAGCGCGAGGAGAGACCTTACCTGCGACACCACATAGGCCGAAGCCTGAACTGAGAATGGTTGACCCGCTCTTCAGATCTGCTACGGCCGCATCCGCATCCTTGAATAACTTTGAAGCGGCACGATCAATCTTCGGAGCCCGCGGAGTTTGCTCATGTGTAGAAGTTGAGTATCTGGCCCGGTTACCGGCTTTAGTAGCGGGAGGCGCATAGAGGCTCGTGAGTGGTTGCGACCGTCGATAGCATTGCGGACGGAGCATCAACCTTCGCGACAAGACCGACGCAGATAATCGAATGGTTGCCATTTTCCCTCGTGGCGACAGAATAATCTGAATAGCAATCGAAAAAGTGTTGCAGAGGCTATCCAGTTAAAAAAAGCAGGGAATCGGGCTGGTTAATATGAGAAGCTGAGAACGGCACCCCTCGGCACTCGGCGCTACTTCTAGTCGCCGAGCGGCGGAGCTCCCAGGACCCTTCGGATCGGAACCAGAAATGAGATCATTCATCGATACGCGTAGCCACCGATCTGCGCGCAAGCTTCCACCCATTCAGAAGCCAAAATCTGCCGCATTTCCGACGTCGAACCAGTCCCAAGTCATTAGGTCATCCAGTGGGACGTCAGGCACAGTTGTCCCAAATGCAGTGCCAGCCCGGTTCACTGCGTCTATGATCTGGTCATCGGACATGGCAGAAAATCTGAGTGGTTCAGGCCATATAAAAGACGACGGTATCGAGGATGGCTGTGTCCCGGAAGCCACTGGGCAATACCCATCCAAGTCTGGCGGAGGTTGTAGGGCCCCAGTTTCGACCAAGCCCCGCGGTCCGTTCTGGGAGCCTGCGCTTACAGGAGCGCGTCTGACAAGCGCCCTCAAAAAGCGCCCATAGAGAACAGAGGCGCCGTTTCTATGGCGGGTAGTAGCTCCGATACGCTCGAGGACCCCTGCAGTTTCCTCGATCAGATTATGAACACTTGGCGCCAAACTAGACCTGCTGTCTTCTGGCATGACGCTAAGACTAAGTGCTGAGCATGCAGCAAAGGATATCATGATGACTGTGTTGTTAGGCATAGACTTCAATCGCGCCTCTCCTTGTATAGCTGCTCTCAAGACATTTAGTGCAGAAGATAGGCCGGCGGCACGAAAGAATCTTTTGACTTCCACGGGTGCTGTAGGGTGATTGATAACACCACCATATGTCGATAACCTCGTATGCGTTACAAGAATCTCCACATAGGGTGGAAGGGAGCGTGCTTGATGTAGATTAGCCGTTTGTACAATGGGTTGATGCGAGCCTGCCACACCCCTACGAGGGACTTACAGTGACCTTCCCCTATCTCAGGTGCCCATATCTCATACCACTGGTCGTAGAAGCTTTCAATCATATTCTTGATCCTGGGAACACCGTGAGTTATTCGCGTGTCCACAACATGTGGGATGCACACGTACGATTGCGCTACCTCAGACCCGGCATCTGTGACCTGGTGACTATCGCAATTGGCTTTTACTCTCAGGAAGAGACCATCCTATTCGCTCCGGTCAAAAAGGTCCTTTCGTACGCTTGAAACCGCCAGTGTACTTACCAGGTTCCGTCTGAGGACAGCCATCGAGTTCATCGGGCCATCGCGCGAGTCTGCAGAATCGGACACATGCCACTTATCGCAGTGGTTTATAAGGGCTGTCGAAGGAACTGTATAGCTTCGTCCGCGAGCTAAACATACACTGCAAGCCAAAGGTTAGACGGGTGCTACACCCATGTATAAGGAAGATGCTACCGCCACTCCAGCCAGGCGTCCTCTACATCACACTTCACTCGTGTCACAACCTGCCGCCCATCTTGAAGAAGGGTAAGACTTTCTGCTTATAAGGCTTTTCTCTTAGTACGGGCAGAAGCTCTATTATCTGTACTTTTGGTTAATTTCAAGCCCGATGCAGTATTTCGTACTTCAGATAGGTAAATATCTCTATCAGGAAGATGGAAGGGCCTCTGCCTGTACTAAGAGAAATATTCTATAAGAGAAAGCATTACCCTTCGAAGTAGGCAGCAGGGTGTGCCATGAGGGAAGTGTGGTATGGAGGAACCTGGCTGATGTGGTAGTAGTGCCTCACAGGTATAATAGCAGAGCTTCTGGTGAAATGCTTACCCTCTTTCGAGAACAAACAGCGCTATCCAAGTTCTCTCACGCCTTCGAAGAAGTCGTCGGCCCCATGCAGATGTCGGCTCTACGCCATCGAATCGGTCCATGTATAGAGCTCTCTTTGCATCGATAGTCTCGGCCTTGGCGAGTCTCCTAAGTAGACTCGGCTCAAAGCTAGATGATGGAAGCACAATCTTGTTCAACGAAAGATCTAAAGCAACAGCTAGAGCCATGGCAATGTAGGAACATGTATCGTCATCTCCTAAGCAACTACCTGGCTCCATCCATGGAACGTTTACCATGAAGGCCAGGACGATCTCAACAGATCTGTGGCGTCGAACAATGACATTCTGGGCCAGTGTCTTGCAGTGTCTAGATAGCCGCTTCGACAGTGCTGTAGCAGATGGCAAGAACAATGCAGCTGCGGCCATGATAGAGGTGAATAGAAATGCGGATTGGGTCCGCACAAACGAGACAGTATGGACCAGGGGATCAAGGCCCCATCGAGTATGTGCGAGGTTCTGATAAAAGCTGGCATCAATGGTAAGTAAGCTATGAAGGCACAAATTCAGTCAACGCAGCCTGGGCATACAAAGAGAAGAGCGACTCAGCTTCACTCGGAGTTACAAGACCGATGTCGATGGGGTCTATATCCGGGCCAACATCTAGACTTGCCCTGATAGGAACAAAATATGATTGCGCGGCAGGGTCGCTTCCTTCGGTGCTGTTCTGCAGCATGCCTGATGCTTGAATTGTTGAAGGTGGCCATTTGTGTGCACCACGCACCTCGGTCGGCGATAGCTGTAGATCAGATGCACGTGCGAGTAGTTGCAAAGGATTCTCTGCATCATCTAGAGACAGATTATCGTCGATATTATCCCGGGGCGAATGGTACGTATAGGACCGGTCAAAATCTTCGGACTGGTCGTCTGCCTCGCTATGTAACTGCTGTTCGCGTGTATTGCTGAGCATCTCTTGAAGGTCAGATATGAGCTTCTGGGCTGCCTCGGACCCTGACGCATCACTCCTCGGTCTTTTTATGGCCTGTTCAATCTGATGTAATGCTTTTTCAAGGCCTTTGCGTTTGCTAATTTCACCATGTCAGCTTGGGGGCCCTTGAAAGATCAATGCGTTTAACGCGTACTTTTTGACCCCTTTCTGTCTACCGACATGGTGACTGGGGATGATGCATTCAACGTTTGCCTGTTTGCATCTGCTACACGACGCATCATCCTGGCCTCGATTGCACCGGACCTTGCTTTTCCTACAATTCAAGCAGGCGGCTTGTCGACCATGAGATGCTTTGTTGGGATCCAACGCAGCGGAGCTATCCATCGCCTGTTACAAGGGTTAATTTAACTCAAGCAGCTTTGTGGTTATGGGGTATAGCCTTCTCGCTATCCCAACGTTCGTGGCGGGGTCTTGGAAACATACTACCGGCTCATGAAGATGACACGGCCCGGATCAAAAGTGGCTCACTGGCTGATAAATGACGATCACGGAAACATATTTTACGCGGCATTCATAGACAGCGGCGGAACAACATCCGGAAGGAAACGGCTGTGGTCTTGGAAAAGTGTTTCAGCTATGCTAGAACTGTAAGAAGGCCTACGAGAGGTCGACTGAATTGGGAGCACAAGGTACAAACAAGCATAGCAAAAGACGGGTGGAAGAAGAAAAATGAAGGACAAGTCATGTTAGCCGGGTGGTGAACACACTTTGTGATTGATGGGTAAAAAAAGGAAAGCCCAACGCGGGGCTCGAACCCGCAGCCTTGAGATTAAGAGTCTCACGCTCTACCGATTGAGCTAGCCGGGCAAAGGGAAAGAGGAAGTTGAACAGCCCAACGCGGGGCTCGAACCCGCAGCCTTGAGATTAAGAGTCTCACGCTCTACCGATTGAGCTAGCCGGGCTTGCTCGTTGAATACAGGTATTTATTTAGAATCTATGAGTCTACGACAGCCGTGAAGGGGCAATGAAGTATGATGCTGCGCCTACTGAGGATTTCCTCTATGCACCATTTGAATATGTATTGTTAACTAGCGGCCATAATCCTACAAACTGACCATGTCAGTGCTCCTTGAAACTCTTGTCTTGAATAGACGATGGTACCCCACGATGAGCGTATGGATAAAAGACATATTCTCCTTGCACCAATGCTCCATAATTCTCCATGCACAGAAAATAGAGCACGTGCATGGAAGAAACGTACCAATTCAAGAAAGGACCAAAAATGACATACTAGGAAAGATATCTATACCACTCGAACAGTATCTGTGCAGAGATAAAGTGCGTCTCTCTTATAAGATCGACCATTTGGGAATCCTTCAAATGCATGGCAAGGGATGAATGTATGCAGCAAGTGCCATTTTCACGGGCATGTAACGAAAGAGGTTGCAAGAACCCACAAAGCATGTAAAGCATAGCATGATGATGGACCATATAGTCATGAGCGCCCACAGAACAATATACTCTCAAGAGTAACTGAACCTCAACCCTAAAAATACCCAACGCGCTGTTAGTTACCCCAATAGTTCGCCGAATCCGAAAGCATATCAACAAGTACAAGGCCAAAGTTAACGTGACAGTAGAGGACGATAGAAACGAAGTAGTTCAAAATTCAGTTGGTCGCCCTGAGAGCTCGTAGCCTAGCATCCAAACCATCCTCAACTTCAGTGTCAACTTGTTTCGGAGCCTTAACCTCCTCCTTAGGAGCAGCAGCAGCATCCTGCTCCAACGCCATCCGGAGATCCACCCCAGCGTCATCAGCAAGTTGCTCCATCAGGCGATCCACATCAGCTTCACCCTCTGCGCCATTCTCCTGCATAGAGATCCCTTGCGCAACATCCTCGATCGCACTGCTAGCAATCTTGAAATCTTCGGAGCGCGCCAGGAAATTGTTCGCATGGGAAACCAAGCTCTCAAGATTTACACTCTTGGAAGCAGCATCCAAGCCCCGTGATGCCAATGCAAGCGTTCGAGACGTGTCCCGAGTGCTCTGCGCAGCCTTGAGCTCGTTGATAATAACATCTGCTCTAGCAGCCTCCGCCTTGAGGGTCACCTGTCTGCGTTTTTCTCGTACGGCAGAAGCGGCATGGATGCGGGCGATCTGAAATTCGCGGTTTTTCATGGCCTTGTCGGCCTTAGCTTTCTCGGATTTAAAGGTCGCTTCCGCACGGGCGGCCTCCTTTTTCAGTCGATTAGAGTGTAGCTAAAAGATGGACAATAATAAAATCAGCCAACTGACAATGACTCAGACAAGGGAGCGTTGATAAGCGGGCAAACGCTGAAATGTTGCCGCAGAGAGGGGGAATAACGGGGCACCGCTTACCTTGACATTGGTGCGGGCTTCAAAGATAGGATCCTTCCGAACCATTTTGTTCTAGGACTGAAGGAACAGGTGACGAAAAATAGAGTGGGCACAAAAAGGGTATCTAGGCAAAAAGTGAGGCTTGGGCGCATGGAAGAGATAGGAAGTTTGGGGTCAAAAGATAGGGAGCGGGAGGCAACATTCAGCCCCAGTGGACAGACAGTCACAGTCTAGATGGGAGGGCGGGGGACTGCGTGGCAACGTCATCCCGATCGCCGTATCCGCTGCGCGCGGAGATGCCACTCCAACCTGCATGCCGACTACAGTTGACAATAATGGCAGTAAAAGTATTACCGCTGATGCCTAAAGAATTGATGTGGTACCTACAATACTACGGTGCTCAGCTATTTGCAAACCCAACGGGATCAGACTAATATTCCGAGTCACCGACAGGTGACAAGAAGCGAAAGGAAAAATAATGAGCAGACCATTGACTGCTGTATTGAAAATCTAAAAAAGAATTATGAGAATTTATGATAATTTACAGCCGGAACCTCAACAATGCTTGCCCATCAGGAGAGACGTCAACGCCTCTTGGGTGCTTCGTGAACTCCATGAACTCCGTGTACTCCTTTGAGACTTGCCAATATTACTTCGCCGTCCAGTTTTCGCTGATTTCAAACCGCTCAAGATTCGTTTGCGTCGTCCCGGCTTTTCGAGTAGGTCTATCGTCCACGCCAAGGTCAACAAGAACTCCCAGCTCCATTGGACTCCGTTACCATCGATAGCCGATGCATCTCCCTGGCGAAACTGCTCGCTAACAGCCAGCTGCAATGCCCTGCCCGTCGCATCGCGAAGTGGACGCGCCAAGGCTGGGTTGCACGCTAGAAGTCTGGCGAGAAGTCTCATCCGGAAGACCGTGGGGCGGCTCGATGCCTTCGAAGCCAACAGATTCGGGGTCGAAATCAACCATAGAATCAAATGGAAATGCTGATAGATCTCCTCCGTCGAGAACGTCAAAGGCGAACCCGTCTTCAAGGACTGAAGAATCTGACCCAACGGGTGAATCAACGTTGAATAGGCGGTGGAAGTCATCGTCAGAAAGAGGAGCTGCAAGATCATCGGCAGCGTGAGGTTCAGGGTTTGAGCCGACGTCAAAGAGAGAGAGGGCACTTCCTTCTCCTTCGAGTCCAGCGACGGACACTGCAGGTCGCACAACACCGCTGCAGGATGTTGTGTCACGTCGGAGGACTCAGCCAGAGTGGAAGGCCTCAAGGTAGGGGAGTAGTCGGTGATAGAGGGTGTGGGGAAAGGAATCCGTTCAAGAGGGATTTCGTCGCGCTCTTGTTTGAACAGGGTGGGGGTGAGAGTAGGAGAAGCGGAGACAGGGGAGCCGGGCTTGGGAGTGTTGCCGCGGGAGCCCCGGACCTCAGCCGATAGTTGAGCGACTTGTTGGTTCAAGCGATTGTTCTCGGCTTCCATCTGGGATAGTCGTTGCAGAAGGAACTGGTTCTGCTGTTCCATCTGAATCTTCTCATTTTCCAACTTCTCCATTTCGAGCCTCTTGCGCTCGCGTGATGTTTGTGCTGCCGCACGATTACGAAGGACGCGCTCGATACGACGTTGCTCTTTCTCATCTTCAGTCTTGGCCCGTTTTCTTGTTATCAAATTAGCATCAGGTGAATAGATATAGTTGTATATGAATATGAATGTCTTACCTCGGAGGCAAGTTAGTCTTCGGGACAGGCAATTCCTGGCCCCATGACTTTCTCTTCTTCACAGGCTTCTTCTCTTCGGCTTTGGTCTCCCCTGCCTGCATCGACGAGTCATCAAGCGACGTGTCCGCCGGGGACACTGTCAGCAATGGCAACTCAGGCGTCGGGGAGCCGGCGAGGGAGTCGACTGGAGAGAATGCTTCTTCCATTATTGCAAGCGTGACAGGTGATTGATCTTTGATTGTGGATCAATCAGATTACTATGAGCCTTATCTTAAACCGCACTGCAAGGGAGGACGGTGATGTAGGTCGACACAGCTTGTTGTGGAGGAGGTCTGCTTGCCCGTGTCACAGGAACACAGGCCACGGTGTCATAACGGGGGAAGCTGGGGGGGGCCAGGCCTGGCCAAGTGGTGCCTGGGGTCAAGTGTACCAGACAACAAGAGGGATTGGGCCAAGAAGGACAGGTGTCCTCAATAACCAAGAAAGAATAAAAGGACGAGAGTGAGGACGATTTCCTGATCGACTGTGAGAGCTGGGGGAGTGAGCGACTCTTTAAAAGGCCAACGTGGTCAGATCAGGCCGCCTCCCTGCAAGTAAGGGGGCGGAGTCATCGTCGTCAGCCAAGTTCCGGTAACCGTTACGGACCCATTACGCCCCTGTGCAATGTCCGGTTGGGTGAATGTGCCCCTTTGCGCCCCAAATGACCGTACGGTAAATACTCCAGGCACCATGGTTCCCCGTAACTTTAGACAGTACGTTCTGTAAGCCAAATGCTCGGGAGGGGAGGGACTGCGAAGGGAGAGAGGGGACACCCCCAGTGTGTTTCCCCCTGCCACAACATTGGAAGCCCCCTTCTGGCCCCATCTTTCACACCTTCCGTCTCAAAGGCCTCTTTACCTGCGACAAGTCTCGCTCTCAAAGGTGGAACCCTCCCCCGGTGGCTCCCTGCGCCCCTCTTGTGGTCTCAACTCGCAATCTTGCGGATCATACTCCGTAGATACCTTGGAGGTAGGTACGTAGATACTAGATTGATGATTGACGGACTTTACTCCATTCCACTTTGTTCTAGCCCAATTCCCCACGGTGATTATTCTTCCGATGATGCCTGTGCCATTTTTATCTCTCGCACTGCCTCTATTTGAACACGACCCCCGCCGATGTCTTACTTCGTCCGGCAATTGAATCCGCAAGCTTTAGTAGATAGCAGTTCTATTCTGTATTACATACAGCCTTTGCTTTCGCTCTTTTGTGTGTAGTGTGTAGTCATAACTGTTTTTCGATCGGGGAGGCTTTAATTTTCATTGATGTTATCATCAATTACCATCCTTGTGTGAACGCGTCTGGACTCTTATTGTGCACCCCTTTTGAGTGTGGCATCCAGGGCTAAGTTGAAGAGTCTCCAGGGGGCAAAGAACGTTGTTGGCGCAGTTCATTGGTGATAAGACAAAGTGAATCCGTGGAACTTGATCCACCGTGGTGCCATTCTTAGAGACGGAGGTGTGAAAGATGGGGCCAGAAGGGGGCTTCTAATGTTGTGGGCGTGGCAGGGAAAATCATTGGAGCGCCGGTATCCTTGGGGTCTGGAACTTGTTATTCAATTTCCCGCATTCCTTGACCGACTAGGTTAGCGGGTGGAATGTACCAGAAACACGGGGGTCACCCTCGACGGGCTAATTATTGCGCAATGCGCATACACAGTACTATTCGGGTCATGGTCTGATATCTAAATAATTAAGTCCGACGGTCTCCCTTCGCCGTTAGATTGATCTTAGCTCCGATGCAATATTGAATATAGACACTTATCGAGAGACAGGGGGAGTGGGGGAGAGGGAGCAAAAAGCATCTCGTACTTAATTAATTAATAACGCTTCTAGAAATCCTACAGCCCTGTCAGGTTTGGGGCCGCCCCCTTCGCGCTTTGTTGCACTCCGTCGGAACGTAGGAATGATATATGAATGAATGGTGGCATGCGCTTATGAAAACAATGCTGTACGTAACAACAAATTGTGTTCACCCCCTCGTTTTCTATCCAGAGGGGTTGATTCTTTATCTACCGTTTACTGTGCTCAAGTGAGAGCACCTAGCTGCCAAACTCATGTGTAACCGTGGGAATAATATGTGCCTAAGAAACAAAAGAAATGGATGTAACAACTCAATAGCCCAAAAATAACGCCCATGCCGGTCACGACTCGTGATTGAATCATAGCAAGATGCAAATTTTTCGAAGTCACCGGGGGGCACCTCGTCTCGCCTCCCAGTTTACACTCCTAACGCGGTCCCGCAGCATTTCGTCTATAACGTGACATCCATCGTATCATCACCGGCATCAATAGCACCTTGGTTCTCCGGGTCTGGTGCAACCACACCTCGTCCTCTACCTGCCAGCAGTTCCCGCCTGACCTCGGGTCCGATATCCTTGTGTCCACGGACCAAAAGCAAATCCAAAAGCGCCTCACGCTGATCCTCGGTGATATCATTGCGGTAGCGTTGCGCAAACACCAGCAGAGACTGGTGCCAAAGGACAGGAAGCTTGTAAACCTTGTTGGCTTCACGGGATCCATCGGTCATCATGGCATCATTGTCGGTAGCACGGAAGCGCAGGAAATGGAAGACGAGGGCGTCAATCACCTTGTAGGGAAGCGCATACTTCTTCTCCAGGAAAACGCGAATGAACATGTTCACTGCACCGGTACTTTCCAAAGAGCGCAACGACTGTTCAGCAGCGAGATCACACATGCGGAGTAATGCTGCAGCTGAGTGCAAGACCGGAATAGAGACACGTGCAATGACGGAAGAGACAATGTGGGCTTCTCGTAGTGTGCAGGTTCCGCTCGACACCAAGGGGAAGAGTAGGCCCTTGAAGAAACAGGCGGGCTTGTATAGCGCTTTCTTCAACGCATTGTAGGTGTGGACATTGAGCTTCTTGGTCTCGTGAATTTCCTCCCGGACACGGTCAAGGAGCACTGTCGCGATGAACTCCTGTGCGACTGCTGGCTTCGACGAAATGAAAATTCTGGTACCGGCATAGACAGCATTGGCCGTCCAAGACTCAGGCCGTGTAATATCGAGAAGGGTGGGCCAGTTGGGCACGGAAGGAAGGATCTTGAAGGGCTTCGGAAGAGGTCCAGATTTGTAGCGAGAAAGTATCATGCCAACCCTTTGATTTTCGATTAGCCTTGCGTGAACCGCAACACGGCGCAATCCGTACTCACTTTTCATATACCTCTACCGCTTTCGCGGGTATTTGAACAGCATCCTCCGGTAATCCACCACCCTGAATGAAGGGCCCGCCGCTCTCTCCGCCCTGCTTCGCTTCATGTTCCGCGATCTTCTCCAGAATAAGATCGGCTAGGTTCCTAGTCTGACCTTCGGCTTCGGGTCCACTGGGGTTGAATATCGGGTCTTCGTCGCCTGCAGGAATGAACTTGTTGAACATATCAAGGTCATCGGGGTCGACCTCCTAATCGATATATCAGCAAAAGGGTTCCCAGAGATTTTTGAAGAAAAGATTCCAGTGACATACAACTTCCTCAATTTCCTCTTCGTCGTCCCATTGGTCGTCTTGGAACTTTTCGTCATCGGAAAAGGCCTCATCACCTTCCAGGCGAGACTCAAAATCAAAGGCTGCGTTCGTCATATTAGCAGCAGCGCCTGCTGTGGCTCTTTGTTCTTCAGCATCCTCATCAGCCAGTTCCTGTCCGATTTGCAGGATCTTCCGGGACATCTTCGCATCAACGAAGCGCTCCCCATCTTCTTGTTCGTCTCCCTCACGAGACTTGCGACTGGACTTTTTGGCCGATTGAGTTCTCAGATGACCAGCAGTCATATAATCCTCAGCTAGAGGATTGTGCCGGCGGCCGGCGGCGGAGCGAGAGGATGTTGCCTTGGGCATGGTGACGGGGCCCCTTTGGATGTGTGTCTTAGAAGCCGAGGTTTATATGATATCAAAAGGCTCCAGCGAGCACCGAATCCACCTAATCACCGGATAATAGGCACTGCGAACGTGGATCGTCTCTCTCTCGGGTATCAACCTCCAAGAAAATGTGTGTAAATTTCCAGGTCATGTGATTCAAATTTTTTGTCGAGCTCTTTTTTTTGGCGTCGCCAAAGCGGAGTCAGACCTCACCGCTTTATGCATGCTATCTCTTATTGGATGATATCTTCTACCGCCTTTACCCCTCTTATCTCGAGGCACCACTTGGCCCTCGACGCCTGCCGGCAATACTGTAGCTCACCGCCTTTAATCGGCGACAAGATTGCTTTCCGCTCGTCGCATGCAACTTGCGCATAAACAACAGGCATGTGATGCAGGACGGGCCTTGAAGCTTGCAAGAAGAGTTCAATCAACGACTATTTGACCTTATACGACTGCCTAATAAACTGAATGCGGTCTATCTCATAACTACAACTGGCTAATCTAAGTCGTGTCGACCAGCAGCCCTTGTGGTAAGTCCCAGGCCACTCCGAACCCACTTCCGCGTTCATCATCTCCAACTTTCTATGTGGTGTCCAGGGCATGGTACATATGGCACCTTCAATATCCCGTGGAGGCTCATCTCCGACACCCACAATGAGAATACAAAGACGGCTCTGGATCGAGTCTGATTCATATTTAATTCTGACCTTCTGCTACTCTTTAACAGGCGTTATTGCGACCCCGGGTTATCCTGGAAACTGTAACATCACCTCCGCTCATCGTATATCGAGACTTCTGGTCACTCTTGATAGAGTCGCTCCCCTCCGAGACCTGTACATTTGATTCGACAAAGCTGTGGTAACAGTATATCTGACTGGCTTTTCCCTGTCGTTGCCGATACCGAGTCATACGCGCAACCTACACCGGACTGTTGGGTTCCCATCAACAAGTATTCCATACTGACGTCTATCCTATCTGATATTGCCCCGGGCCTATAAACTCTTGCACCTAACATTGCATTTTTCGAGTCGATCAACAATGGCTTCCACACAACCGGCTGGGTCTTCTGCACCTTCGTCTAATCTGAACTCTCCGATCTTGCCTCCTGGAGGAACACCATTTTTCGCCGGTTCCTTACCCGATTCTAATGCGAGGTCTTCTCCTATACCTGCAAGCAATGCCCCTGCACAAGCCGATGGATTGAAGTCAAAGCGTACCAAACGTGACAGCCGCAAAAAGCGTGAGGCCAAGGGTCTGGATCAGGAAAGCATGCCACCGAAGAAGCGAGCAGTTGCTGTCCAAAACACTGCACTTCCCAGCTCAGATCTCAGCATACTAAGGCCTCTTTTGCTGGCAGAGCCTCGCTCATCCGATTTGTTACCCCCACAACCCCGGCAGCTGAATTTTGTCAACCGAAAAACATCAGACGTTATCGGTCAGAGCTGGGACTTCTTTGAGATCGTCGATAAGCTCACCAACAAGAATGGATTTCGTTATAGCTACGCCATAGCTGACCCCAGCTTTCCGCATATCAAATACCGCCAGACTGATGTTCAGCCTTACCACGCCCGCTTCAGCTTCGAAGACTCTCCAGCTGCCATACTTTTCAGTAAAGACGCTCTCGCAGTTACTTCTAACGAGCCTTGGCATACTGCACGCGCTAATGTCTGCGCGCGCGAGGGATCTTATTACTACGAAGCGCGCATCGTCAGTGGTGTCATGAATAATTCATCGACTCCCTCTTCAAATAGCAATGGAAGTTTACCGTCCAGGGGACATGTACGTCTCGGTTTCGCACGAAGGGAGGCAGACCTTGATGCCAATGTTGGCGTCGACTGTTATGGATACGGTATTCGTGATGTGAATGGCGAGGTTGTCAATCGGATGCGGTGCGAGTACTTCTTTCCAAAAGGCGAATCCATTCGTGAGGGAGATGTTATCGGCCTACTAATCACCCTCCCGCCACTCTCTCTTCACAAGAAAGTTGTAGAGGGAACTTATGAGTCAGGTGCGGATGGCGAGGTTTCAACACCAAGCTCAGAAGCCCCGTCAGTCACGAATATAGTCCGTGACCGCATTCCTTTCCACTATAAATCAGACTTTTGTTGGCAACAATCGAACGTGTTTCCAACAAAACAGCTACGCGATTACGCATTTAACCTCAAAGAAACACCTACGTTTGGGCCTCCATCTCCGTTCAATGCTGAGGATGCATCCTTGCGGACTCTACCCGGTTCAAGCATCACAATATACAAGAACGGTGTAAAGATGGGCACTCCTTTCGAAGAATTGTATGCTTTCTTACCACCGGCTAGCCGACTCGCCAATGGCACGAATAACTTGGGCATCGGTGAGCGCGAGAATGCAGATGATGGAATGATCGGTTATTATCCCGCTGTCAGCTGCTACGGCGGAGGCGCGGTTGAATGCCGCTTTGAGGGGCCATGGTGGGTGGGCCCGCCATCTCATACAGACAACGGCGAGCCAATTCGGGGGATTGGCGAACGATTCAATGAGCAAATAGTTGAGGACATAATTGCAGATATCGTGGACGAGGTTGAGGCGATGTGCGTCTGGGGCGGAGTAGATGGCAACGTTGTCAACAATGCAGAGATCGATGGCTCTGGAACTGGGGCAGTTGGTGGCTCCGAGGTGTTGAAAGGTGGTGTCAGTGCGGCTTATGAGTCCGCTATTCCTCCAGTTGCCGACGGTCAAACCGAGGCTGCTGCTAATCCCGCTGGCAATGGCAACGAAGCCGGAAGTGTGATGGACCTAGATTCAGGCCAGACCACGCTCGAAGACACCACGAGCGCCGATGCCACGGTCCCAGAGGCACCTCAGACTACAATACCCGACGCGCCAACTGGAGATGGAGATGTTGAGATGTCTTGAACGCCATACCTTCAACGCCTCGGCCACTGTGATTACGTCTAGCATCCCTAACCCAATCTACTACACCGGCTTTGCCTTAGGGAGGTCGGTGTTGGAATGATCGACCCGTGACCAAGGCACGTTACGGGGCTGGTAGAATTATATCACGACTTTACATGATTTACTAGTCTGCAATAGTTTCCTTTTCTTTGCGCTCCGAATCCCGAGCACATCTCAGTTTACAAGGTTTTATACAAACTAACAGCGACACCTCTTGGGAGTTACTGGCGCAGAATTTCTTTAGTTTATACATTTTAATCTGTATACATATAGACGTCTATGAATGGAGTCTGGGTATTCGCATTTATGGAGACAAAAGTTTTTTCATAGGTGCCTGCCCTCGAGCATCTCGGCAACCTTTAACACAAGCTCATCATCACCGTACTGACCAATGACCTGGATTCCAGCCAAATCTCCATCCTCGGCATCACCAGCGCTTTCTGTAGTGACCGGTACAGATATGGCCGGAAGGCCTGCCAGACTAGCAGGTACAGTAAAAACATCATTCGTATATGCCTCCAAGGGCGAAGCTGTCGCATCGGGTCCGATAAGGCTTGAAATGCGTGGTGGTGATGACGGCGCTGTTGGGCAAATGAGAACGTCAACACTGGCGTCTGCAGAATCCGACTTTGATCCCAGTTGCGAAGAAATCAGGGGTTGACGTGCCCTGAACGCGGTGTTAAAATCATGTTGAACAAGGCGGCGAACCCGCTGTGCTTGAATAAAGTAGTTATCCATAGCATCAGCGCTTAGGCTAAATGCCCCGAGCAGGATCCGTCTCTTGACTTCGGAGCCGAAACCTTCACCTCGTGTTTTCGCATATAGATAACTTTCTGACGATGCATTCCCATCTGGTGCTTCAGGGCGGCTCCCGTACCTGACGCCATCATACTTGGCCAGGTTGGAGGATGCCTCAGCAGGCGCGAGTACATAGTATGCCGACAACGCGAGTTTAGTCGTTGGAAGGGAGACCGTTTGGATGCTGTGGCCCTGTCGCTGCAAATGGGCCAGCGAGCGAGACCACGCATGTCGCGCAGATGGAGACAACTCTGATATGTTGTACTCGACTGGAACTCCTATCCTCAGGGGAGAGTTTGTCCGAGACGCCAAGGCAGGCATCCTAAGATGTGAATCTAGCCGCGACCGACTGGAGGGAGAAAGGTTAGTGGGGTCGCGTGAATCATGTTGGTTCACCACGCCTATGTTACGAGCACGGGTTAGCAAGTCGAGACGCAGCGAGACAGGAGGAATCCGACAAAGTCAAGACATACCGAAGACACGGCGAACGCTGGCCACGTCTCTTCCCAGTACTCCGACCGTGTCCAGTGAGTTGGCGTACGCAACCACTCCCCAGCGAGAAACTAGCCCATAAGAAGGCTTGAAGCCGACTGTTCCCGTATATGCGGCGGGCAATCGCACGGAGCCGCCTGTATCAGTACCCAACGCTCTATAAATATTCCAGCAATGTTAAGCCAAGCCGTTCCTAGCCCTATGATTCAAGGCGGATCCGGAGAGTTACATACGCATAACATTGGGCTGTCGCAACAGCAACCGCACTTCCACCCGAACTACCACCGGCCGAGAGATACTCGGCATGCAGGTCACGGCGCGAGCTTTTGACAGGACCAAAGTTCGAATGTATAGAGTGGGATCCCATTCCGAATTCGTCGAGATTGGCTTTGCCGGCCACGACGGCACCTGCGTCTTCCAATTGTTGAACAACTGTCGCGTTGAACGGACTGACGAATTTATCCAGAGCGTTTGAAGCGCATGTTGTTGGAAGATCGCGTGTGCATATATTGTCCTTAACGGCGACCAACAGGCCGTCTACCTCGGATTTGGGCGTCCCTAGTTGGCGAAACGAGTTTGTTAGCTCTGAAGAAAGCGAGGATTGGTTGCAATGCAGCCTTCATACTCACCCCGGGTGCGCCGCGCATCCGCATCTCTCACACGTTCCAACCATTGCCCTGACTGATGTAGAGTGGTGATTAGCGCATTTAGAGCCGCATGAGAGCCCTGATTAGCCAAGCACTTCTCGGCTTCGCGCAAGAGCGACATTGAGGGGTGTAGCTCTATACAAAAAGGGTTACCACCCAGACAATGGAAGCTTTCTAGAAAACTGATCGATTCATTGATCGATTGATTGTATGCGGCGGACATCCCCGCGGGCGGTGAACGAGACAGGGCGGTGAGTGCTTTCTCTCCATGGTATCATACTGTACGGTACCATACTGGTACTCGAGAGCTTCTCGAAGCTCCAGCGCCTGCTGAGTAGGGACTTGACGTATAGTAAACAAGGACCAAAACTCACTGCCGCACACTCAAGAATGACATGGGTTAGTCTTGGTAGCAATGTCCCTTGCATCTGTGTTTACGATTGTCTGTAAATATCCAAGGACAGACCTCATCCCCCTCCTCTGTCAATCCAGAGGGCCAAAATGAATACCCGAATCGGCGTCTTCATCTCCGTCGGCCCGAGGGCTGCAGGGACGACGTCATCAGGAATTTCCTCGCGACCGCATCGTCGTGGAGACTTCACCTTCTCTCTCATCTCACCAGACTAATCTGACTATACCAGTATACTGTGGTTACAATGATGTCTGGGGGTATGATTCGGTCCGCGGTGAGGGCTTCCGGAAGCCACGCTGCGTGCTCCATCAGAATTGGAGCTGCATCGCAATTAGCCTCAGTGAGCAAGCGCCAATTGCAAGGAGCATATCCTCATACTCAGATTGGGGGTAAAAGATGGATTTCGGTCTACGGGTATACGCAATCGAAGGCTCTCATCTACTCGCGCTACGGGGAGCCCAAGGACGTCCTGCAGTAAGTCCTCGCACCGCGTCGGATCCTACATTTCCGCGACCCGGCTATTGCACAATGGGACAAGGTATCTGACAGTCATCCAGGCTTCACAAGCACTCCATCTCCGCGCCCCATGGTACTCAAGTTAATCTCCGCCTGCTCGCTGCGCCGCTGAATCCTGCCGACGTAAATCAGATCCAGGGTGTAT